CCGTCATGGACGTTCACACAACGGCATACCTTATTGTGATATGAGCCGATAATCTCGACCTTGAGATCATGGCAATTTACGAAACGAGCCTACAGTGCGTATAGTCGAATTGGAGTCAACAGGTGCAACCACAATAGCAGAGAGAACTCCCTCGCGCAATGACGTTGTTCCTCTATGCTATTTTACCAAGCAGCATTTAGCAGAAATACCGACTTGAAGTTATCGCTCAATGTACGACTGCTCTGATGGACGTCCTTGGCCTGATGGCAGCCAGCTCAGCTGCCTACAGCACTCTTCTCGAACGTCAAATACCTCGCTTGATAGTTCTCACATGTATGGACAGCTACGTTTATACCGATCTGGCGCTAGTTACAACCGAGGTAGTTCCTTGCTCGAGGTTGATGAGCCAAGTCATGCAAGTCCAGTCTTTACAGAACCAAGTACACTGCCTCTCACTGTTATTGCTGTCCCTATTACATGGTGCACTGCAGCCGTAGACTTAGCACAATGGAGTCCGTGTAGAGGTAACAACAAGCATGGAAGAAGACGCGCTGGAGACATGTACAATTGGTAACTAGTGGCTATAGCAGTGAGTCAGTCAAAAGAGTGATGTGAATAGTCAATCGGGTCAGGCGCGGCGTCAGGACGAGTTTGAAAGTCTAGCGCTTGCACGATAGTCATCTGCTGAGGCATCAGGCTGCGAATCGAGCGATCTCTTTTGATATCGTGCTTTAATCACGACTCAATCACCTCCGCGTTCCGTGTCTGTCTCCACACATTGCTTCCAAAGTTGAGCAGACAGGAGTTTGCACCGGAACTTCATGTGCACAACGCTGGTTGTTTTCGCGTGCTTCTGCGCCCGAGTTCGACATCTCTCTGTTTTTTTCTTTGGTGGCGTAAGTAGTAAGTAGTCCCTTGCTGAAATGCGTAGCATGTGCCTGTTTTACAGCCATGTGCACAATCACCACTGGCCGTCCTTTGTGTATAGAATATTCATTAAGACGACGTCCACGTATGAGATCGACAAGGAGCTCACACGGGGAGGCTCGTGGCATCCGGACATTTGCAATGGGCGACGAGTTGGCTCGGCACGCCGCCTCACGAAAAAGGCTAAATTGTGTTGTGTCGCGAAGCGTTTGCGGGGCGTAGCTTATTTTTTTAGCCATGAACTAAGCACGTTGCTGAAGTATAGCGGCCGGGATGCACGTACCAAACTTTGACTTGTTGTGACGCTTTTGCCAAATAGTACATTCCCGCGCTAAATTGCATTGACTATTCCTCTACAATGGCGCAGATTCGTTGAGCAGAGGACAGGAAACAGGTTCACGACGCGGCAACACGACATGTGACCATGCTGCAAAGAATAGAACAACACTTGCACAAAGGCACTAGCATATCGAGAATACGTGGAGACCGTGCGGTATCCTTTCGCACATAACTGAGACACTAGCGGATCGGTTTTAAGATGTTGTGGCAGCGATCGCATGTGTATGTACCTAAAGGTGGAACATTACCTGACGAAGATATGGGTTGGCAGGAATGCATCCGTCTACGACAGTCACGTTCGACATTCACGGGATCACAAATAGTTTTGGGCTCCTCTTTGCGCAACATGCAAGCAATCGCGAAGAGGGAGCGTGGAACGCAGTGATAACTATTGATGGTGCTAGACTACATGAAAAGCGTCGAGTTGGTAAATCGAGAACTTGAAAGTCCCCACCTTCCGCTGGAAAAAGCCACCACCAGCTCCCAGACCTCTCGGTTAATGTACTGGCTTAAGGTATTCCAGAGATCATGCACATACGCTTGACCTTTGGTTGTACAATTGGAGCATACTTTCTCTCTCGTACCTCGAACACTGCGAATATTGGTACATCCCGCTTGTTGCAAGGCCGAAGGGTGGAGCTTTTAGTGACTGCGCGCAAGGTAGATGCCGAGCTTTTTAAACCGTACTTATCTGCGCTTGTCTGCCGGTGTGCAACTAACGCCTGGTGTACCTTTCACGTCGTTCTAAGTGCGACGTAGTCTGTGCCCTCTATTTAGGTATCACGCTTTGATGAGGTCACTAATTTGTGACTGCAAGGATGTAATGTTTACACTCGCGCATGTTTGGCTTAAAGTGATGAAAAGGGCGGACAGATTGCTAAGAAGCAAATGCTAGACACTCAGGGGCAGCGAGATAGTCGCGCATTTTTCGCAGACAGTAAGTGTTAGTGGTTTTGTTCTGGAAAACTTGAAATAGCAAGAGGCCAAGGTCACGGTTTTGTATCGGTAGCAGTGGATAATCCTTTAGTTTCTCTTTATCACGGAAAAGCATGTGTCGTCGACCGCATTTTGCGGCCGACAGCGTTGTCGAGCAGGGTCGTCCTTTGTTTACTCTTTCCAACATTTGTTTCTTGAACACATCAAACAGCATGAAGAAGTACCTTAAGCTCACAAAAATTCATTGACTGTTTCATCGTTTTACACACAAAACACGACCCATTCCCAGGTCGCCAACATCTGAAATTGGAAGTTTAATACACAGAAGCAAGTTCATTCACTGAGAAGAAATTGCTATCATCAAAGGACGAGCTCCAGAGCTTGCGTCCCTATCTTATATCTGGCCCCCAATTGCTCTTGGTCGACTTAGGCCAATTATGTGCGGACATTGGTGCACCTGTGTAACGGGGCACCCTGAAGCTTGTACTGGTGACAGTACAAGCTACTTATTCTGATGACAGAATAAGGCGGTGCCTCGGAACTTCATGTGCACTCGTACGTGCAGAGGAAGACGGTAAGTGAAAGCGAGTACTTGGTGAAAGTAAAAAGTAGAACTGTATTTAGTATAGTTAATGTCTGCAATAAATCACTGTTTATCCTCATCTAACTATGTCTAAATACAAATGTGTATATCAACTATCTGCTCACCACTCATTGCGTGCGTCTGTCGTGGCGCGTCTTCGTTGGTTGGTATAATGGCCTATATCAACCAATTAGGAACTACTCGTAAGTGCTACAGAATATTTGTCCTAATGACAATATTCTGAGAATGTAACTCTTATAGTTATATTCTATCAACAATTTCTTATAAATTGCTATGCAAGGATTCACCCCGTTACATCCCCCCCTTAACCATCAGTCACTTTAGTGACTGATTGACTAAATGGATACTTGTCCCAAATCATTTGGGACAGGATTTGCACTTGTTGGTCCGAGTCCACTTTCCAATAGTTCATCGCATGGTTAACAAGCCCATGTGGTGCGTGAACAAGGCCGCTGAGAGCGCGTCCGCACGTCTCTGTGCGGACGCCGAAGCAGAAACCACAGCAACTGATGTCTCATCGGTTGCTGAAGCGACTCAGGCTGTGTGACCTGGTGATGCAGGCGCTGGTCATGAAGACACTCATGTCTTCACAGAGTATGAGCTCGGTGTCTTACACTCTCCTGATACGGAAGACGGATCCGTATCGACGGCGATCGAATCCAAGCCGCCTTCCAAGCGTGGCATAGATGATGCTATGCGTCGTAGCATTTTTGGTTCATCTGATTCATCAGATGAACCATCGCCGAAGCGAAGGCGCTCGAGGTCGCGAGACTCGGGCGCTAACAGTGGTGTCGGTTTTCCTTTTGACACCACTTCGCAACGAGGTGCCAGTACTTCTGTCGGCAAGTCGCAGGAAGAGCGGGAACGCAATGTGTTGCGTCTCACTAACGAGAAGAAGGCATGGATGCGTCCCAAATCTGTCATGGATCACTTGTTGGCGACGACAAGTGATCGCTATCGAACACGGTTGTTTGATTCGTCAAGGATCCATCACCTTGACCCCAGTGCGAAAGACTATCGCGCTGAGAATGAGTTCTTCATCGATATTTTCTCTAAGCATTGATGGTACAGTGGGAATCACAAGCGTGATGGTCCCTCACTGCTTCAAGCGTGGAACGCTTACATCCATAACCTTGAGGATGTAGGTCGTGACGTTTGGAACGACAAACTTATCAAAGCTCGTGATAAGTTTAAAAAGCGAACCCTAACAGGTGCACGCTACAAGCTGCATTGTCTGTCGAGGAAGAAAGGATTACCCTGCCTCTCCTGGGGAGACTCATGCCCATGTTGTGTGGACAACTCTGCGCGCGCACCTAAGGAGGCTTACCTTCTTACTAGCCCGTGGTGGCGCGCACGTATCTCTAATGAGATGTACGAAGGGATTGACAACCTGAAATCCCTTTACGACCGTTCCGGGAAGACTTTCTCCAGCGGTCCTTCTGCGGCACAGGATGTGCCGCGTCGTATTGCTCGTACAGACCCAGTACGTCAACTATCAGCTGGGAGCGGGGCTCCCAAGAATCCCACGACGGGGGATAGCCGCGCCACCGGACGAGATAACTCGTCCGACGTCCGTTCACGTCGCGGTGGTTCAACAGCTGCTCAAGTAGATAGCGCTGGCCACCGCGAGAGTCCTCTAATGCAGGTGGAGGAGGAGGAGGAAAGACGCTCTCCAAACTATCGTGGGGATCGGTGTGTTCCCGAGAGCTTCTTTGATCGCGTAACGCAAGAGTTACGCTACGATCTCGAACATTAGCGGAATAGACGTCTCCAATGTCGGACACTGCCTCGAAGCATCGAGCTGAGTTTGCCTTTGCTCAGCTTGAGAACGAGAGATCTCTGACATCTCTTCGTGACGAGCTAAGTGTAGCTCGTGGGATTGTTGATCGGTCTCGGGATGAGATAGATGCTCTTCAGACCCTTGTTGATGCCCACCATCGGGAGCACAAGGCTCTCTGCGAGATGCTTGAGCGCAAGGGCGTTCTTCTTCGGAAGAAGCAGCGTACTGATGGTACGGCTTAAGCCGACCAACGTAAAACGTGGGATGCGTTTGCATCTTACGTGGCAACTCGATCGTGTATGCATTGCCTAGGCGGTGCAATACACGAAATGGGCCAATGTACTTGGGTAGTAGTTTACTGCTACCCAAGTTAGTCACTACATGCTTTGGTAGATTAACCGTAGACAGTAGGAATCAGTCACCTTCATTAAATAAAAGAGTGTTTGCCCTTCCATTCTTGTCAGCGTTTTGCTTTTGCTTATCCACCGCTTCGGCGATGGAGTCTTGCACAAAACGGACTACCGTTTCACGAGCCAGTATGAACTCATCTGATGACTCGTTAGCTTCAGTGTGCTGTGAGCGCACTGCAGCAACATCAACCTTTTCTTCAGTGAGGGCTTCCGCACTCTCACTGGGATCATCTTCTTCAGTGAGGGCTTCCGCACTCTCACTGGCATCATCTTCTTCGATATTGATGTTATCGATATCGGCATCAAACGCAGTGACTTCTTCGTCAGAGCGTGATGAGCGTGAACCAATTCGGTTTTTGCTCGCGCGAGTCCCTCCCCCCCTTAAACCAGATTTACACTCTAGTAAGGTGGGTACACGCGGATGGCGCAAGCCCTTCACGTAAAACGGTGTATGTGTCGTGGACGCATGTACCGAGTTGTTAATGGCAAACTCTACCATTGGCAAAAACTCACTCCAACTCTTAAAGGAGTGTACGTATCCTCGAAGTATCTCTTCAAGGACACGATTGGCACGTTCCGTCTGACCATCTGACTCTGGATGATCAGATGTTGACATCTTCAAGCGCGTTCCGAGTGATTTGAACACGGAACGCCAGAAATCAGCAGTGAATCGTGGATCTCTGTCTGATACGAGTTCACGGGGCAACCCATGAAGTCGGAAGATGGTGTCAATAAAGACACAAGCACAGCCACTTGCCGTGATTGTCTCTGGTACAGCCACAAGGTGTACCATTTTGCTGAATCTGTCAACAAATACGAGAATACCCCGTATTCCCGCGTGCGTCTTTGGGTAACCCGAAGACGAAATCCATTGAGATGGATTCCCAGCACTCAGCCGGAACCGGTAGAGGCTGTAAAGGTGCACGCAGTGAAGGACTTGACTTCACTCGTTGACAGACTTCGCATGCGCGAACATACTTTCGCACAAACTGATACTGGCGGGGCCAGTAAAAGTCTCGACTCACCGTGAGATATGTTTTCTCTCGGCCACGATGTCCTCCTATAGGAGCATCGTGATACTCGAACATGATCCGCAAACGCAGATCAGTATCATCTGGAATGACAACACGTGGTGTGTCACCAGAAGCGGCTGTTTAATGCAGTAAACCGTTGCGAGTAGTGTATCTATCTGATGCAGATCGATACGCAGGCGACAATCGTTTCAACGATTCTCGAGATGGCTGTGAGGGATGTGTCAACGACTTCACAATCTCACCATCTTGGGCATACGCCCGCCTCACATCATCATGCAACGTTGAAGATGGTACTGAGGACGTCATAATCGCAACAGTGACTGTCTCACTGTTGGGTTTCACGACTGGTTCAAAGTCGGGACGACGTGAGAGTGCATCAGCGACGACGTGAAGTCGTCCTGGTTTGTAATCTACCTTAAAAGTGTATTCTGCAAAGAATGACAACCACCGCGCGATTCGTTGTGAAAGGTGCGGGCTGTTTGCTGCCGTGCGTAATGACGCATGGTCAGTGTAAACAATGAAGGGTCTATCTCCTAATAGATAGACTCTGAACTTCGCGAGTGCATACTTCATGGCAAGGAGTTCCTTGTCATGCACTGGATAGTTCCGATCAGCTGGTTGCAGCTGACGCGACTGATAGCAGACGACGCGTTCGACGCCTTCAAGATCGTACTGTATTAATGCACAGCCGATTGCGAAATCGCTGGCATCACAGACCACATGAAATGGCCTGTCCTGATCGGCAATTGCTAGGACTGGGGATTGTATCAAGCTATGCTTGATACCATCAAAGGAGCGCTGACATTCAGCGTTCCATAACCACCTCTCGTTCTTTTTCAACAAACGAGAGAGGTGTACAGTCATCTCGGCGTAATTGCGTGAAAACTTGTGCAAATACGCTGCTAGCCCGAGGAATTTTCGAAGACCTTTGACATCAACCGGCACAGGCCAGTCGGTGATCGTCTTGATCTGTTCGGGATCAGGACGTACACCGTTATTACCAACGATGCACCCAAGAAGTGGTATTTCGCTTGCTGCAAGTACACACTTCTTGAGGTTTGCATAAAATTGATGCTTTTGCATGATTGTAAGAACCTGTCGGACGTGGTACCTGTGAACCTCAACATCCGACTTTCCATCCATAGCCCGACTATGGATGAATACGTCATCGAAAAAACACGGCGCGAATTCTCGTACTGGTCTCAACAGATGTGATACACATCTGTTGAACGTGGCAGGGGCATTACTGAACCCTTGTGGCATTACTAGCCATTCCCAGAGCATGCCGCTAGGCGTGCTAACTGCGGTATAGGGTATATCCCGTTCTCGCATGAGGATTTGATAGAAGCCATCCATCAAATCCATGGACGAAAAGATGGTACTCTTTGACATACCATCAATAATTACGTCCTTCCTCGGTATCGGCGTCCGAGCCGGTACCGTTGCAGCATTCAACTTGTTAAATGCATGCACTATCCGCCACCCTCCTGTTGCTTTTCGCACACAGAAGGTCGGAGAGCTATGTGGGAAGTTGATTCCCTCACATGGCCCGCAGCTAAACGATCGGCAAAGAGCTTGTCGATCGCAAGTACTTGTTCACGAGGCAGTGGCCACTGCTTCATGACACAGTACTTCGAGCCTGGTTTAAGCTCGACCTCGTGTCGAATACCTTTATCCTTTAGTAATTCGCACGGAACAGTTTCAGGGAATACATCCTTGAATTCAACCAAATCTTCATAGAGAGGATTTGTCTTGAGCGATTCCCACGATTGGGAGTCATATCGCTCAACTCGTGTCTTTTCATCTAGGACACTCTCGTCCATAGATGAACTACTGAGAACTCTCTCGTTCTCAGTGAGCACTGTTGCTGACCTTATGTCGGTTACACACTCGTCGTCAGCGACGAGTACGCAGATCTGCTTGACTTTGCCACTATGCAGATCACGCAAGAACCTTTTAAGTTCGAGTGTTGGCAACTGAGTGATCTCCGAAGTCAACTTCGTAGGCGCAATCAGATCAAGTGTATAAGCGCCTACACTTGATCCGTAATTGACTATGACAATCAGTGTCTCTGTCATTTCCTGGGGACTTATTCCCTCAGGCCTCGAAGAACTTATTCCTTCGGCTTCCTGGGGACTTATTCCCTCGGGTTTCGGGGAACTTATTTCCGCCGTATTTGTAATATCGGGACTTATTCCCTTGACTTCCTCTAGCTGTGGTTGCTCAACCACAGCGAGATCCTCTACGAAAGACTCTCCAGCCGATCTAGGATTATCGTTTCGCTTAACCTGAGCGATCGATCGTTTCTCTTCTAGATGTTCCCCGCTAGGGATACATCTTTGTCCCAGTCCACCCGACTTATTCGAGTGATGGACCTTCGGCGCAGCCTGTGTGTCCTCAAAGCCGCCGGGACTTTGCTCCGAAGTGTAACCGTTTGCTACACTAAGGTTTTTTGCATTCGTACTAACGACCGTACCACAAATGAGGCCATCGCACTCACTCGTAGTACATTCACACGCTTGTGGACGCTCCAAAACGTTCATCAGATGGCCGTCTGATGAACAAGCGGCAGGCATCGTTACTGTTCGATGTTGCCACTTTACCCGTGGTTCGTACCTTCTGAGCCACGGTATTCCAAGGATGACATCAAATTTTTCATCCAAATCCAATACGATAAAGTCATCGTCATATTGGGTATCTTCTAGCGTATAGCGAATGTTCACTTTACGTTTCATGACGGTTACGGATGCGCCTGTCGCAAGATGTAACGTCATCCTCGTAGGAGGTGTGTCACATTCAACAAACCTGAAGTGACCATCTTCCAGCGCTTGGCGTCGCACAAAATTGTTGGACGCCCCACAATCGGCTAGAGCTCGAATGAACAACTTATTTGTCACTTCGAGTTTCAAGGTAATGAGTGAGATCTCATTACCTAGAGCAGCAACGCACAACGTTTGTGTGTTGGGAGCAACCTTCGTCAAGAGGCCTACAAATTCTCTTGACGTTGCTGTACCAGTAGGGTGCACCTACTGATCCTGTCCGTTTTTTGACGGTCCATCCCGTTGTTGCGTCTTTGCACCAACTGCGGACCCGCGTCCCTGCCCCTTTCTAATGGGTGGACGGTCACTACGCCCAGTGTTGCGAGACACTGGACGAGGGGCACTACACCCGTAAGCGTAGTGTCCTGTCTTTTGACATCTGTTGCATTCCTGCAACTTCTTGTAGTCTGTAGAGCGAGCCTTCTCGCTCTCTACCTAACAGAGCTCCATCGGCTCTGGACCTCCGCTGTCATATCGTCTCGGTTGACGATATGATGTCGAGCTGGCGCGAGCCTGTCTCAGACTGAAGTCTTCCTGTTCCGCAATGGAAATGGCTTGTTCTAGTGAATCTAGTTCAAGTCGGAACAGGTGAGTCTTGACGGGACCATCCGCAAGACCCTGCATGAACACCGAAACCAACGTGTGTTCATCCACCGGATTGGAACTTATACAACTTGTGAGATGTCAAATATGTCGCGCGTAAGCGTGCACATCACGCTTACCTTGTTTGAGCTTCAAGAGTTCGGTTTGAGCTCTGTACTCAGCTCTAGGCGGTTCAAACGTTTGTCTGAGCCGCGACTTGAATACTTCTAACGACCCAAACGCATATAGGTCGTGCAACTTGAGCCCCAAAGCCCGAGTCTTGGCACGTCCTGCCAGATTTGATTGGGCAAATGCAACTTGCATATCCCCGTCATCGATGCGACGCGCCCTTATGGCGTCGTCTAATTCGACAAACCATCTCAAGAGGGAGTCCTCTTCGACTCCCTTATACTTGGGGATGTCAATCTTCAAGGTCTCGGGTCAACGCGAGTGCATCGACCCACCAGCAGCAGGCTGCTGCTGTCTCAACAATTCAAACTGTTGAGCACCCTGTTCTCTCAACAACTCTGCTTGTTGAGAACCTTGTCGGTGAAGCAAGGCTACTTTCTCGCGTTCGGCGTCAAGTTCATTTTGAATAAACTTGGCGGTAGTAGCATGTTGGGTATCTCTATTGAGAGCCTCTAGCATGACGCTAACAGCATGGATGCCCATGGTTGAGCCCATTCGTTCAACCGCATCCCATTCGACATCGCTCAAATGGGAGTAGCCGTCACGCGTAGCGTGATGGCTTTGGTCATCTTCATCATCCAACATATTCATGTTAGATGTGAACGTGGTCCTTGGACGGACAACGAAGTGCTACCAAGTGTAACGGGGCACCCTGAAGCTTGTACTGATGACAGCACAAGCTTCTTTTTCTGACGCCAGAATAAGGCGGTGCCTCGGAACTTCACGTACACTGGTACGTGCAGAGGAAGACGGTAAGTGAAAGCGAGTACTTGGTGAAAGTGAAAAGTAGAACTGTATTTAGTATAGTTAATGTCTGCAATAAATCACTATTTATCTTAATCTAACTATGTCTGAGTACAACTACGCATATCAACTATCTGCTCACCACTCATTGCGTGCGTCTGTCGTGGCGCGTCTTCGTTGGTTGATATAATGGCCTATATCAACCAATTAGGAACTTCTGAGAACATAACTCTTACAGACTTGTTCTATTAACAATTTCTTTTAAATTGTTATGCAACAATTCACCCCGTTACAGTGCGTCTTCAAAATTGTTTACGCTTGAATTATGTTGCTGTCAGTCTGTATTTGTAGTAATAAGGTGTTTGATGCTACGTTGATTACTGTGTTGGCTTTAACAGCAACGGGCAGCTTCTTTTGATGAAGACCGGTTTGAATGATAGACTGTTGCGCAAATTATTCTACCTAGCACGCAGAAGGTAATTCCCCCTCCTTTTTTGCGCGTATTCTATTCTTTGCGAGTAGTGTACCTTTTGAAACCTACAACGTCGGGCGATTACTGTGATGTTTTGCGCACGTTCGTTGTACGGATAGTACATAACGTGGCGCCTTTGCTCGGTCACTCGAACGCATGCGAATGGACGAATGATACAGCTTTGTAAATGGGTGAGGATCGATACAATAAGTACACCGGACCCTTCTTGAATAATTTTGCTGCTCTGGTTCAACATTGAAGTTGACGTTTGATGTCAATTTCGTTCTGCATAATCAATGAACGCGTGATGTAACCTTGTTCACTGATAAAACTCATCCATACTATTCAACATCAGGACACCGCTATCCGTTGCTTTCATTGTAGTGCATTGATGTTATTGTTACGTCAACTAGCACCTTTCTAGTGAATCTCTGTAGTAGATTTTATTGGAGGGAACCCTCCATCGTACCAGCCATCGCGAAATGAAGAGGTTTGCAACCTCTCCATCGAGCCGACAATCTCTTCTCCTCTTCTTCACGACCTGATTCTACGCTTCCTCACGTTACATCGATGTTAATCTGCCCAAACGGCTCTAACTCTCCGTGAATTTTAACAAAATCATCACTTTCTGCTCCATCTCTATTCTCCGTTGCATACACACGCTTCACGGGCACCAATGAACCTTCGCAAATATGAAACGGCTTCTCTGTATTTCCATCTTCCATGCTCTGTCCCTCAGCATCAATAAGTCTTTGCTGTAGCAATTTCCATCCAGATAACGAAAGCTGCAGTCTTGCCCGTTATGGCCTCAGTCGACTTTCCCGACGTGCAACTGCATGAAGATAAACACAACAGAAAAACATAGTACTCGTCAGTCAACTATCAAGAAAAACTAGGCCAAAACGCTTCTATCCACCCATGTGCCCATCTTCTTCTTATTAAATTGCTCATAACTCCGACACTTTGAGAGACGACGAACACCCCAAGTTGCAAACACCAGCAACAAAGTCACGTTAAGACCGGCAACGACCGAGATTGTCACGCGTATTGGCATGGACAGTCCCGTACTTTCTTCTCCTCCTGAGAATGGGACTTTACCGTCGTCGTGCGTATCTGAGCACTGGTTAGTGACCACGACGTCGTGCCAATTGGGTACTTCACAATTGGCAATGCACACGCAGCCATTGCGTCCCGTGCAGTATGGTGGGAGAAGAGTACTCAATCATTGGGATCGTTTGGATCCTCTTGTCTCTTCCATCGCGTGCGACACGTTGCACAGACGGAATCATTTGCGTGAAAGTAGCGACAGTAACATGATGAAAAGTAGCGCTGTAAAGGCAAGTAGTAGAAACGTTCGGCAATGTACGAGCCGTACGTGCTTTGGCTGGCACAGCCACCAGACGAATTGACCGTGCACTTGTCATTTGGTAGCTGTACGTTCAGGCAATCATAACACGTGCGTGGCTCAAGGCACTCGTTGTTGTGGTACCAGGTGCACGAATCACAATTGATCGTGGCGTTTCGATGGATGCTGCTGATGTTGTTGCTATCAAATCTAGTGTCGTCATTGGGAATAGTGTCGTCATTGAGAATAGTGTCGTAAGCGTTGTTGTTGTTGTTGTTGTTGCTATCGTTATTGTTGCTGTAGTTGTTGTTATTTTTATTGTTATCGTCGTTGTTGTTGTCGTTGGTAAGGGCAGTAGGAAATGGAGTCGAGGCCATGGATACGTTTATGTGTTGAGGTACGGATCAATTTTGGAAGTAAACTCTTGAGACCCAATTATCAGGATTACGAACGGATGGTAGGAAACGAGCGCTGTCGACTTAAGGGTCCGATTGAATGAACAATTTGGGTGATACTACTAGTGATCGGAGGGGTGCAATCAGAATACAAATGTCGAGATGCTTAGCGGTATTCATCGGTGAATCCGTCGATAAGAGCCGGGGTGTTCTAAGACTCAAAGACAGGCTCAGATACCTTTGATAGGGCAAGATTGGTGTTTTTGAGTCTTTCAAGATTGTCCGTTAACTCACTCTTCAATCTTCAGAGCAGTGACTCGTGGTCCAGGCGGAGTGTTAATTAGGATTACACCGACAAAGCTGCGCGCTATGCCATCCCCTATCTCTCCTCCACCTGGAGGGGGAAAAAACACGTACGGCGGCACGCAGGACGCGAAGGTCCGGTTTGGAGAAGTCGCCGGTCCTGGAAATGGACGGTTGGACGCCATCACACCATCGGAAGGCCTGCATACGGAAACTGCACCTGTAACAGGGCACCCCGAAGCTTGTACTGATGACAGCACAAGATAATTATTCTGACGATAGAATAAGGCGGTGCCTTGCAACTTCACGTACACTGGTACGTGCAGAGGAAGACGGTAAGTGAAAGCGAGTACTTGGTTAAAGTAAAAAGTAGAACTGTATTTATAATAGTTAATGTCTGTTAATTTAATCACTGTTTATCCTCATCTAACTATGTCTAAATACAAATGTGTATATCAAGTATCTGCTCACCACTCATTGCGTGCGTCTGTCGTGGCGCGTCTTCGTTGGTTGGTATAATGGCCTATATCAACCAATTAGGAACTACTCGTAAGTGCTACAGAATATTTGTCCTTATGACAATATTCTGAGAATGTAACTCTTATAGTTATATTCTATTAACAATTTCTTATAAATTGTTATGTAACGATTCACCCCGTTACATCCCCCCCTTAACCATCAGTCACTTTAGTGACTGATTGACTAAATGGATACTTGTCCCAAATCATTTGGGACAGGATTTGCACTTGTTGGTCCGAGTCCACTTTCCAATAGTTCATCGCATGGTTAACAAGCCCATGTGGAGCGTGAACAAGGCCGCTGAGAGCGCGTCCGCACGTCTCTGTGCGGACGCCGAAGCAGAAACCACAGCAACTGATGTCTCATCGGTTGCTGAAGCGACTCAGGCTGTGTGACCTGGTGATGCAGGCGCTGGTCATGAAGACACTCATGTCTTCACAGAGTATGAGCTCGGTGTCTTACACTCTCCTGATACGGAAGACGGATCCGTATCGACGGCGATCGAATCCAAGCCGCCTTCCAAGCGTGGCATAGATGATGCTATGCGTTGTAGCATCTTTGGTTCATCTGATGCATCAGATGAACCATCGCCGAAGCAAAGGCGCTCGAGGTCGCGAGACTCGGGCGCTAACAGTGGTGTCGGTTTTCCTTTTGACACCACTTCGCAACGAGGTGCCAGTACTTCTGTCGGCAAGTCGCAGGAAGAGCGGGAACGCAATGTGTTGCGTCTCACTAACGAGAAGAAGGCATGGATGCGTCCCAAATCTGTCATGGATCACTTGTCGGCGACGACAAGTGATCGCTATCGAACACGGTTGTTTGATTCGTCAAGGATCCATCACCTTGACCCCAGTGCGAAAAACTATCGCGCTAAGAATGAGTTCTTCATCGATATTTTCTCTAAGCATTGATGGTACAGTGGGAATCACAAGCGTGATGGTCCCTCACTGCTTCAAGCGTGGAACGCTTACATCCATAACCTTGAGGATGTAGGTCGTGACGTTTGGAACGACAAACTTATCAAAGCTCGTGATAAGTTTAAAAAGCGAACCCTAACAGGTGCACGCTACAAGCTGCATTGTCTGTCGAGGAAGAAAGGATTACCCTGCCTCTCCTGGGGAGACTCATGCCCATGTTGTGTGGACAACTCTGCGCGCGCACCTAAGGAGGCTTACCTTCTTACTAGCCCGTGGTGGCGCGCACGTATCTCTAATGAGATGTACGAAGGGATTGACAACCTGAAATCCCTTTACGACCGTTCCGGGAAGACTTTCTCCAGCGGTCCTTCTGCGGCACAGGATGTGCCGCGTCGTATTGCTCGTACAGACCCAGTACGTCAACCATCAGCTGGGAGCGGGGCTCCCAAGAATCCCACGACGGGGGATAGCCGCGCCACCGGACGAGATAACTCGTCCGACGTCCGTTCACGTCGCGGTGGTTCAACAGCTGCTCAAGTAGATAGCGCTGGCCAACGCGAGATTCCTCTTATGGAGGAGGAGGGAAAACGCTTTCCAAACTGTCGTGGGGAGGAGGAGGGAAATCGCTCTCCAAACTGTCGTGGGGAAGCGTGCGTTCCCGAAAGCTTCTTTGATCGCGTAACGCAAAGGTTACGCGGTGATCTCGAACATGAGCGGGACAGGCGTCTCCAAATGGGGGACACTGTCTTGAAGCATCGAGCTGAGTTTGCCTTTGCTCAGCTTGAGAACGAGAGATCTCTGACATCTCTTCGTGACGAGCTAAGGGTAGCTCGTGGGATTGTTGATCGGTCTCGGGATGAAATAGATGCTCTTCAGACCCTTGTCGACGCCCACCACCGGCAACACAAGGCTCGCTGTGAGATGCTTGAGCGCAAGAGCGTTCTTCATCGGAAGAAGCAGCGTACTGATGGTACGGCTTAAGCCGACCAACGTAAAACGTGGGATGCGTTTGCATCTTACGTGGCAATTCGATCGTGTATGCGTTGCCTAGGCGATGCAATACACGAAATGGGCCGATGGGCTTGGGTAGATGTTTACTGCTACCCAAGTTAGTCACTACATGCTTTGGTAGATTAACCGTAGACAGTAGGACTAAGTCACCTTTATTAAATAAAAGAGTGTTTGCTTTTCCATTCTTGTCAGCGTTTTGCTTTTGCTTATCCACCGCTTCGGCGATGGAGATTTGCACAAAATGGACTACCGTTTTACGAGCCAGTATGAACTCATCTGGTGACTCGTTAGCTTCATTGCGCTGTGAGTGCACTGCAGCAACATCAATCTTTTCTTCAGTGAGGGCTTCCGCACTCTCACTGGCACCATCTTCTTCGATATCGATGTTATCGGCATCAAACGCAGTGACTTCTTCGTCAGAGCGTGATGAGCGTGAACCAATTCGGTTTTTGCTCGCGCGAGTCTCTCCCCCCCTTAAACCAGAGTTACACTCTAGTAAGGTGGGTACACGCGGACGGCGCAAGCCATTCACGTAAAACGGTGTATGTGTCGTGGACGCATGCACCGAGTTGTTAATGGCAAACTCTACCATTGGCAAGAACTAAATCTAAGTCTTAAAGGAGTGTACGTATCCTCGAAGTATCTCTTCGAGGACACGATTGGCACGTTCCGTCTGACCATCTGACTCTGGATGATCAGATGTCGACATCTTCAAGCGCGTTCTGAGTGATTTGAACACGGAACGCCAGAAATCAGCAGTGAAGCGTGGATCTCTGTCTGATACGAGTTCACGGGGCAACCCATGAAGTCGGAAGATGGTGTCAATAAAGACACAAGCACAGCCACTTGCCGTGATTGTCTCTGGTACAGCCACAAGGTGTACCATTTTGCTGAATCTGTCAACAAATACGAGAATACCCGTATTCCCGCGTGCGTCTTTGGGTAACCCGAAGACGAAATCCATTGAGATGGATTCCCAGCACTCAGCCGGAACCGGTAGAGGCTGTAAAGGTGCACGCAGTGAAGGATTTGACTTCACTCGTTGACAGACTTCGCATGCGCGAACATACTTTCGCACAAACTGATACTGGCGGGGCCAGTAAAAGTCTCGACTCACCGTGAGATATGTTTTCTCTCGGCCACGATGTCCTCCTATAGGGGCATCGTGGTACTCGAACATGATCCGCAAACGCAGATCAGTATCATCTGGAATGACAACACGTGGTGTGTCACCAGAAGCGGCTGTTTAATGCAGTAAACCGTTGCGAGTAGTGTATCTATCTGATGCAGATCGATACACAGGCGACAATCGTTTCAACGATTCTCGAGATGGCTGTGAGGGATGTGTCAACGACTTCACAATCTCACCATCTTGGGCATACGCCCGCCTCACATCATCATGCAACGTTAAAGATGGTACTGATGACGTCATAATCGCAACAGTGACTGTCTCACTGTTGGGTTTCACGACTGGTTCAAAGTCGGGACGACGTGAGAGTGCATCAGCGACGACGTGAAGTCGTCCTGGTTTGTAATCTACCTTAAAAGTGTATTCTGCAAAGAATGACAACCACCGCGCGATTCGTTGTGAAAGGTGCGGGCTGTTTGCTGCCTTGCGTAATGACGCATGGTCAGTGTAAACAATGAAGGGTCTATCTCCTAATAGATAGACTCTGAACTTCGCGAGTGCATACTTCATGGCAAGGAGTTCCTTGTCATGCACTGGATAGTTCCGATCAGCTGGTTGCAGCTGACGCGACTGATAGCAGACGACGCGTTCGACGCCTTCAAGATCGTACTGTATTAATGCACAGCCTATTGCGAAATCGCTGGCATCACAGACCACATGAAATGGCCTGTCCTGATCGGCAATTGCTAGGACTGGGGATTGTATCAAGCTATGCTTGATACCATCAAAGGAGCGCTGATATTCAGCGTTCCATAACCACCTCTCGTTCTTTTTCAACAAACGAGAGAGGTGTACAGTCATCTCGGCGTAATTGCGTGAAAACTTGTGCAAATACGCCGCTAGCCCAAGGAATTTTCGAAGACCTTTGACATCAACCGGCACAGGCCAGTCGGTGATCGCCTTGATCTGTTCGGGATCAGGACGTACACCGTTATTACCAACGATGCACCCAAGAAGTGGTATTTCGCTTGCTGCAAATATACACTTCTTGAGATTTGCATAAAATTGATGCTTTCGCATGATTGTAAGAACCTGTCGGAAGTGGTACCTGTGAACTTCAACGTCCGACTTTCCATCCATAGCCCGACTATGGATGAATACGTCATCGAAATAACTCGGCGCGAATTCTCGTACTGGTCTCAACAGATGTGATACACATCTGTTGAACGTGGCAGGGGCATTACTAAGCCCTTGTGATATTACTAGCCAGAGCATGCCGCTGGGCGTGCTAGCTGCGGTATAGAGTATATCCCGTTCCCGCATTAGGATTTGATAGAAGCCATCCATCAAATCCATGGACGAAAAGATGGTACTCTTTGACATACCATCAATGATTACGTCCTTCCTCGGTATCGGCGTCTGAGCCGGTACCGTTGCAGCATTCAACTTGTTAAATGCATGCACTATCCGCCACCCTCTTGTTGCTTTTCGCACACAGAAGGTCGGAGAGCTATGTGGGAAGTTGATTCCCTCACATGGCCCGCAGCTAAACGATCGGCAAAGAGCTTGTCGATCGCAAGTACTTGTTCACGAGGCAGTGGCCACTGCTTCATGACACAGTACTTCGAGCCTGGTTTAAGCTCGACCTCGTGTCGAATACCTTTATCCTTTAGTAATTCGCACGGAACAGTTTCAGGGAATACATCCTTGAATTCAACCAAATCTTCATAGAGAGGATTTGTCTTGAGCGATTCCCACGATTGGGAGTCATATCGCTCAACTCGTGTCTTTTCATCTAGGACACTCTCGTCCATAGATGAACTACTGAGAACTCTCTCGTTCTCAGTGAGCACTGTTGCTGACCTTATGTCGGTTACACACTCGTCGTCAGCGACGAGTACGCAGATCTGCTTGACTTTGCCACTATGCAGATCACGCAAGAACCTTTTAAGTTCGAGTGTTGGCAACTGAGTGATCTCCGAAGTCAACTTCGTAGGCGCAATCAGATCAAGTGTATAAGCGCCTACACTTGATCCGTAATTGACTATGACAATCAGTGTCTCTGTCATTTCCTGGGGACTTATTCCCTCAGGCCTCGAAGAACTTATTCCTTCGGCTTCCTGGGGACTTATTCCCTCGGGTTTCGGGGAACTTATTTCCGCCGTATTTGTAATATCGGGACTTATTCCCTTGACTTCCTCTAGCTGGGGTTGCGCAACCACAGCGAGATCCTCTACGAAAGACTCTCCAGCCGATCTAGGATTATCGTTTCGCTTAACCTGAGCGATCGATCGTTTCTCTTCTAGATGTTTCCCGCTAGGGATACATCTTTGTCCCAGTCCACCCGACTTATTCGAGTGGTGGACCTTCGGCGCAGCCTGTGTGTCCTCAAAGCCGCCGGAACTTTGCTCCGAAGTGTAACCGTTTGCTACACTAAGGTTTTTTGCATTCGTACTAACGACCGTACCACAAGTGAGGCCATCGCACTCACTCGTAGTACATCCACACGCTTGTGGACGCTCCAAAACGTTCATCAGATGGCCATCTGATGAACAAGCGGCAGGCATCGTTACTGTTCGATGTTGCCACTTTACCCGTGGTTCGTACCTTCTGAGCCACGGTATTCCAAGGATGACATCAAATTTTTCATCCAAATCCAATACGATAAAGTCATCGTCATATTGGGTATCTTCTAGCGTATAGTGAATGTTCACTTTACGTTTCATGACGGTTACGGATGCGCCTGTCGCAAGACGTACCGTCATCCTCGTAGGAGGTATGTCACACTCAACAAACCTGAAGTGACCATCTTCCAGCGCTTGGCGTCGCACAAAATTGTTGGACGCCCCACAATCGGCTAGAGCTAGAAGGGCAACTTATTCGTCACTTCGAGTTTCAAGGTAATGAGTGAGATCTCATTACCTAGAGCAGCAACGCACAACGTCTGTGTGTTGGGAGAAACCTTCATCAAGAGGCCTACAAATTCTCTTGACGTTGCTGGATCAGTAGGGTGCACCTACTGATCCTGTCCGTTTTTTGACGGTCCATCCCGTTGTTGCGTCTTTGCACCAACTGCGGACCCGCGTCCCTGCCCCTTTCTAATGGGTGGACGGTCACTACGCCCAGTGTTGCGAGACACTGGACGAGGGGCACTACACCCGTAAGCGTAGTGTCCTGTCTTTTGACATCTGTTGCATTCCTGCAACTTCTTGTAGTCTGTAGAGCGAGCCTTCTCGCTCTCTACCTAACAGAGCTCCATCGGCTCTGGACCTCCGCTGTCATATCGTCTCGGTTGACGATATGATGTCGAGCTGGCGCGAGCCTGTCTCAGACTGAAGTCTTCCTGTTCCGCAATGGAAATGGCTTGTTCTAGTGAATCTAGTTCAAGTCGGAACAGGTGAGTCTTGACGGGACCATCCGCAAGACCCTGCATGAACACCGAAACCAACGTGTGTTCATCCACCGGATTGGAACTTATACAACTTGTGAGATGTCAAATATGTCGCGCGTAAGCGTGCACATCACGCTTACCTTGTTTGAGCTTCAAGAGTTCGGTTTGAGCTCTGTACTCAGCTCTAGGCGGTTCAAACGTTTGTCTGAGCCGCGACTTGAATACTTCTAACGACCCAAACGCATATAGGTCGTGCAACTTGAACCCCAAAGCCCGAGTCTTGGCACGTCCTGCCAGATTTGATTGGGCAAATGCAACTTGCATATCCCCGTCATCGATGCGACGCGCCCTTATGGCGTCGTCTAATTCGACAAACCATCTCAAGAGGGAGTCCTCTTCGACTCCCTTATACTTGGGGATGTCAATCTTCAAGGTCTCGGGTCAACGCGA